CACACACACACACACACACACACACACACACACACACACATACTTGTAACGGTGGATCTTGTAAGCAGGAACACTAAACGGTTCATGTCCAAACTTGCCTGCTGCTTAAGAATGATGTCAGTTTTACAAAAATCCTGGTCTTCCCATCAAACTGAGCTAAATGTGAGGATAAACATAATTATGTGGTGAAAAAAAAACATTGCAAATGCAAATATGGCCTCCTGTCACATTTTTCGTCCRTAAACAGAAGAGACCAGTCCTGTCAGGCTGAATTCCTGTGAAAGCTCTGAGTTCACTTTTACAGATTCTCATCAGAATGAAAATATCACTACAAACTCTTTCTGTCCTTTATGTAGGCCAGTAGTTCTGAGTAAAATAAATAAATTCATCAAAGATTTTTAACTATTTACACTTCACAATTCTGCCATCTCAGAGCAACTTCAAGCCTTTTCTACGTTTTTTTATTCCATCTTTTAAAGATATTGATCTATGGTGGTGTATCCAGCCAGAGGAAAAAGAGCAAGTGTTTTAATGTCTACATTAAAGTAGTGTTGACAGGAAAAAAAAGTTGCAATTAGGGATGCAAACAAATTATTGGCTTACAATTAATTTTCGAATAATGATTTATTAGATTAAAAACTATTCCTTTCAATTAACCGATAACGTCTGCTTACGGACCAAAAGGACACGCCCCCCTCTGAGATAATTTGAATGAAAAGTAGAGACTTTAAAACTTAAACCAGTTTTTAAATTGTGTTGATTGGTTTGTTTCTTAAAATGAGGTCTAATTTGATTCACGTCATGAGCAGGAAACACAGTTCTGTGGAAAAAATACCACAATCCACCGTCAGTTTTCTGCTTCTCTTGAGAATAAAATATAAAAACCCTCTGATCTTTTTTCTGTCCAAGGCCCAAAGTTATTTGTCAAGCAGCAAAAAAAATCTTCAGGACAAAGAAAATAAAAAGATGCAAATGTTGAATGAAGTTCGGTGGAAATAAAGAGACAGCGAGAGCTGGAGAGAGTAATTACATTTTTGATATTTGTAGCTGTACAAATATTTGGATTTATAGTTAGCAAGCAGTAGAAGGCTGGAGTTCTGATGTGATCTGGTAACAGTTCTGACCTTGGAGACTCTGTTCCTCTGCTTGAGTTCACTTCATTTATCTGGTGGCTGTGCACGTTCCTCCAATGTGCACTCTGAGCAGACAAACCTTACTTACTGTCCTCTGCCATTTATTTAAATTGTMATTTGAATGTTTGTGTAGTCCTGGGACCCCAAAGTAAATTCACTGAATGTGCAAATGACAACAAAYAACTCATAGTTTTTTGAACACATCTAAAGTTTGCTCTAAAACAACCCTCAGTCATTCAGGGTGAACCACATCTCCTCCCTCTAATTAGTCCTTTATCAGCTGACATCAGTCATAGAGCATGGACTATAAAGAGAAGGGTCAAGTTCTTAAGACTAGGTTCATGATCAGCTGCCTAAAGGCCTGTTTATTATCAGTTTTATAAAACTATTCTTCCTCAAAAAAAAAACACCATGTTAAAGAACACTATATTAATGTTACATTTTTATGAGACTGTTTATTTTGTTGCTGTTTTTAACAGCTGTAACTGTGAGACTGTATGTGAACACAACTCTCTCCTTTCTCATCATAAAAAGATCTAAACACTGAAGAAAAGGGTGATCTGCAGTCCTGCTCCAACCCTAATCTGTACTTCTCCACAACTTTGTCTCTGAGCTGTGTGCAGAGTTCCTCGGTCTTCATGGTGTCTCTTGTTTGATGGTACATCTTACTACTTACTTGCAGGTGTTGAACTGGTGCTGAGAGGGGAGCCATCACATCAGGTGGATTTATACTGAGACTGTTATCCGCCTGTGAGCAGGCTGTTCCGTGAAAAAGATGAGTGAATACTGAAATTAGCTGAAAAAAACTGAAAATGTGTAACAGAAGAGAGACTAAAGAAGCAGAACAGAAGCTTGAAGCTGAAAGCTGCAAAACAGTGACTAAAAGCTAAATTACAACAGATGCTTCACTGCAGCTCTGCCTAAAATCAGTAACTTTATGTACTGTGAAGTTAGAAATGTTTCTGCTGTTTCTGYTGCACAAAATTTCAGCAGGTTTTTAGCTTGATATTACGTAATTCAGACCTTCCATGATGTATCTGAACAAAGTGTTTCCTGTTCTTCAGATAACTAGTTACCCACTGTATGACTGATCCTCTAATGCCATATTTATTCAGCTTTTCAATGAGAATGGTGTGCTCAGTAGAATCGAAGGCTTTTTTCAAGTCAACAAAAACGCTAACAACTGTTTTTGATGAAAAGAGGTTGTTATTGCCAGTAATTCCATAAGAGCCACTGACATCAAGTTATTTGTCCTGAACCCATTTTGACTGATATTTTAAATATTCTTTGTCTATAAATTGATGGTTACAAATAATTTCTCTATTTTTTTACTTTGGCAACAAGGATAAAGGTCTGTAATTATTGAACACACATTTCTCACCATTCTTAAAATGAGGGATTCCCTTAGCTACTTTCATATTATCTAATGATAAATTACATATCAATAACAATTCATTATATCCTTTACAAACATCGTATCCATGTCAACACAATCTTTTGACATTCTGTCTGTAGGTTTTTAACAATATTCTTTATCAGTTTCATCAAGACAAAATTCTGCTGGTACAATCCATGACTGTATAACTCTTCATTATCTACTTTTGGTATTCACATAGTATTTATTAAATTCATTTACTGTTTCATTCTGATCATAGATTTAATTATCATCAAAGTACTGTGAACTGCCACATGAACCAATCTAGGCACTTGTTGGACAGTGATCCGTGTTTTCCAGCTCCACCTCTGGCTCAGTAATTGACTTTATCCAAACACTGAAATGGTCTCAGATACAGGAAGCAGAAGAATTCTGAGCCAAGTCCTACATTTAGAAACAATCAGCTATTCAGGGCTATTGTTTCCAAAGAGTGCAGATCGGACTATTATACAGGTACACACACACACACACACACTGATACCTTATATGACCAAAGTCATCAGTGTTTCATTTCTCCTCACCTTTTTGACCACTTTCTCATCATTTATTTCTTTATATCTTTATTTCTTTCTTTCTTTATTTATTTATATTTTTATTTATT